TCTTGCTGGTGGCATACAGTATACAGTGTAAACACACTCACAGAGAACACAGCTGCTAATTAGATACTGAACCAATAGAGTCACTATGTACTTTAAAATTTAAATTATTACCTACCTGATGAGGTTTCTTTTTCTGGACGCAGTGAGTTGGGGCTACCTCAGTGAAACTGAAAATCAGTGAGAGGAGAAGGTTGGCTGAGTGACATTTGAGGGGCCAGGACTGATATATTCATGAGCTCGTGTAGCAGCTAGTTATGTGATCACTCAGTGGATGCCAGATATAATTATCAGGCAGCCCTGATTGTTGTCAAATTCATACTGGAAATTCAACTTGCACCAAATATCAACCAGTTTTAATAATTTACTTTATCATAAGCATTGTGAGATTTATGATGACCTCTGACCTTGTGTCTGAAAGAAGGCTTTCATATGTAGAAGGTCTTGAAAGCCCGTCAACCCCGATAGTATCTTCTTCCAGAAAAACATCTGCTTCATCACCTTCTCCCACTTGTAAAACGTAAGAAAGTGCTTCCATTTCTTGGGAATCTCTCAATATGTATGGTGTGTGCAGAGAATCCAAGACAAAGCTTACCATCTGCAGAAAGCATCAGCTCTACCATGCTGTCTTTGTTCAAGCTGCTGAAGGAAACAGGCTCTGTAGCGCCATCTGGTGTCAGCACCAGCTCAGGGATATTTAGGAAAACACCAGCTGATGAGTGGGGTCTGTGTTCTTCTTCTTGTCCCCTGCTTTGGCTACTTCTATCCGTCAGCAGAGAGGAAATCATCTGCAGGGTCAGAGTGCTTTTATATGTGTGAAGCGGGTCCCACTTCTTAAGAGGCAAGGGTGAAGCTGAGGTAGAGGATGAGGCAGACAAGGATCTTAGATCCTCCTCAGAAGAAAAAATGTTCTCTTGAGTCTCCAGCTGCTGCTGCTGCTGCGAATAGAAGATAAAATCTAAGGGTTGCCATTACTTAAAATCCCTTTGCAATTGTATATTGCAACCAGTATTAACAAGGACAATGAAAATATATACATTGTAAATGACAGGATGTTCTTCTTCTGGGTCGTCTGTATGTGCTGTTTGCTGTGTTTCTATTGCCATGTGCACTGGCGAAGAGCTGCATGTGAGTAGACGCAGAGCCTCGGTGGGCAGAAGCATTTGCTTGCTGTTGGGCTTTCTCTCCGTGTGCTCTGGCCACACTACCTCCCTGAAATGAGAGTGCACGTCATAAATCTGGTGTCTAATGCATATTGTGTTTTAACATAATTCAAGCAGTTGCTCCAAGTGTGACATCTACAACCTCAGTACCTCAACTTGGAATCTGGTTTCCTCACTTCCTTCACAGCCTTTCTGACCAATTTCACCTGCTCATCTGTTGAGACTTTGCCAACTTTCTGAGCCCGGTACAGCTTGGCAGACAGCGGACATGGTGGCATTTCTGCAAAACAATGTGATTAGATGACATCTCAGTTATATCCTAATACTGTTTAATAATATCTTTCATACCTTTCTTCATCTGTGTCGTCTCTGTGGTCTCAGCTCCATCTTCTTCATTCTGATAAAGATTTTTAGGGAGAGTTAAAAGTCCTTTCTAGGCTGTCTTGGTATGTACATTTTGTCTTGCTGTAAATGAGTGATTCACCCACATTGTTTTCAACAAGAATGTACTTTAAAGCCTCTGTGCACAGGCCAACTCCTTTACAAGTCTGGAGGAAGTATTTGCTCATATCTTCAGTCTCTGTGTGGCCTCTCTTCAACAGAGCCCAAGCATCAGAGTTACAACTGGGGGTTGAAAGCACAAATTGAGTCTGCAAGTGAGCTTTTATTTAGTAACATTACATTATCAAACATATAGTACCTGCTTTGAATAAGTACATCTGCAAACAGCTTGGCATCATCAGTGGTCTCTACTGCAGGCCTGGCCCACTGGAGGTACCGTAATGCCTCTTGAGGCTGTTTCCTTGTCAGGAGACAATGGATGATGCAACGATGCTGCCAGGAGAGGGCAGGAACAGAGGCCTTTGGGCTCAGTAACAGCTCCATGGAGGCCTGGGATTGGTTGTAAGATAGCGCACAGCACTTTGTTAAGTAAATTTCTTATCAATTAAAAGAAAAAAATGTTGTAGCTCCTTTCATTACTTATTATTTGCAAATTATTAAATCACTTTAAAGTATGCACATATCTCATTTGAGTTACCTGCATGCCATTTTGGCCGTTTCAACACTTATCTTTTTAATGTTTCGTTTTCAGCTGCATACCTCGGTGTGTCCATGATCAAGCATCCAGAAGGCTCTGATTTGTTGGGAAAAGGTGGATGGAATTGTGAACGCATGACAAAAAGCCTGAAGGAGGTCATCTTTGCACTGTAGGAAATTTGCCACATCCAGGATGAAGTACATGAGCTGTGTCATAAAAGTTAAGACACATTTAACCTTAAGTAAGTGCACATAGAGAAGCAACAAATCAGTATGTTTCACAGAAAAGCTTTGCTGATTTGGATGGATACAATGGCCTGGACTGACATGTTGTCAATATGAGGGATCAGCACGAGCTTCAACAGCGCCTGCAGATTAGGGGGAGGATAACGTGGATCTGTGCAATCTCCAGACATCCAAATGCACCCGTGTTGTTCGCATAGCTGTGTCACCATGCTCTGTATCAAAGACTTCAATCTTCCCATTTCTCCCTCCTCCCGTCTAATAAAAGGTAAGGAAGTTAAAGGGGAAAAAACAGGTAGGAAATTGATAAAGTATGTTGAGAGAGAGACTTGCTCTAAAATGAAACCCTTTCAGAGTTACCCCTGTGTTTCAAGACCGGCTTTTCGGTGGCTGTGATCCATTTCCTTCCACATCTGAGTGATACGCTTCACTTCTTGGGTCTCTGACAGAAACAACAGAGAACCAAACATTAAGAACAAAAGGATTTAGAGGTATAATAACAGTTCTTCATCCCAGTTTATTGGGATGTGATGATATCTATACCAGGAAACTTTGGCAGAAGCCCCATGATGCCCCACCACTGAACCAGCTGTCCCAGCCAGATGTGTTGCATCAGCATCCTCTGCTCTCTGTTCCAGCAGCCATGTCGGATGTCTGAGGAGCTGTATGTGTCCTTGCAGACCACACATGGGACTCCCACTCCTGCATAAAGAAGACATTGCATTTCAGAAAGGCTTTTATCATGTCACAGCATTAAAGATTAGGATATCTTTAGCACAAACCATGCCAGAGGTGGGCTGAGCAGAGATGTTTTCTTCCCCACTGGGCCAATGTAAGCAGGTTCCTTAATTTTTGGAGTAACGTGTGCACTCTAGTGAAGGAGCCGCGGTCCAGGAACATCCACAGACCCTGGCAACAGCTGAAGCCTGAGGGAATAATTAAGACACAATAGATCCAAAGATCCAAAGTATATGTTACTCAAAGTAACTTCAACTTCAAATTTAAGTTTGCACATTTAGAAAGACTGAAAATATGATGTAATATGTACTTACATAAGGTTAATAACTCCTTTTTAGCAAACTCTGCTGTCCGCTGTACCCAGCAGCTAAATGCTGGTGCGATTTCCCCCACATCAGTATAACCTTGTTGAAGATACCGTGTTAAAGGAAACAACAAACAACTGTGGAATTAAAGGGTCTTTGCAAAAATTGTACAGAGCACTGGTTTCATGATGAGTGGATGTTCCTTTTCTACCTTCAGCTGTAAGCTTCCTCAACCAGCAGATGATGGCTTTTATGTTATTGCTGGCCAATGCCTCAGACCACTGACCCTCTTTGTCCAGCATCACGCTGAGCTTTTGGTATCGAAACCAAGACAAGGGAGATCACACACAAAAAAGTGGGTATACTGAAAACAACTACTTTACCTACTGCATTGCACAGGTCTTTCAACTGTAGCCCATGTAATGTGCTTAAGTGGTTAAATAGCACGTACACTTAAAGCTAGAAAATCCATTTACATAAGTGTTTCCACACTTACATCAGGAAGACCAGACTGAAGCATGAGGACTTTAGTAAGTATGATTTTGCATTTGTTGGGTCTTCACATACTTACTCGGTGGAATGACTGTGGTCTAGTTTTCTGCTGTGGGTCAGTGAAACTTCCCTCTTGGTCTCTGTAGTGGTGACTGCTGTGAGTTCTGTCTGCCTTGTGGATTTGCTGACTGGCCCGCTAGTAACGTTCTCTTCTTACACAAGCTACTTTCGTCCACGTTAATCCTCTAAGCTCACTCTCAGTTAACATTTCATTGGCTGATTTGCAGAGTAGTCGTGACTGCATCGGTGTGTTTGCGTGTGTGTTACAGGCGGGGAACAAAATAGGTAAGAATATCAGGGGTTAAAGTGAACGTCTTAAGTAAAACAGGGACGAAAACTCCCATTTTCTCTTCCAGTTTAAATCTTGTTTTTGACATTTCTGACCAGTGAAGTGGTTTTTATTAACTGGCAAAGTGGTAAAAGTACCACATGCTTTTCAGATCACTGCATAGTTTTGTCATTGTCTTTTGCACTTGTCTTCATTTTGGATTGCCAGCTGGTAAAAAAACAAAATATTTCAAAGAATTTTATAGAAAAATCAAATCAAAATGAAATAATAAAAGTAGCTGGAGCCTGACTGCAAAGTTTCTACCACTAGAGAGCACTGCAACCACAATGTGCTTCAGTTTTAAACCTTTTTTAAAGCATTTATTATTAATGTAGTCTTCAATACAAACCCCCCACCAAAGACTGTATGTTTATTTTTCTGCATCATTAAAAGATGGCTTAAACTTTGCAGTTAGGGCAATACTGCTGATGCAAAGATGATTTTTTTTAACTTTATCCTATTGTAAAACTTTTACTGGTAACACACACACTCACACACAGAGAGAGAGAGAAAGGCAATTGGCCACTGCTTTCACAGTGTCGAGACAGTCAGATTTGCATAGGTGGCAGAAGGTGGGTCCAAATCCCTTATGGGGCCCATGACTGATTAATGACTAAAGGGGATTAGGAGGTTCAGGACTTGGCTGCTAGTCTCACTCTGATGCTGCTGTGGCTGCATTCACGCTATCTGTGTCACTACAACTACTCGCCGCTCTGGACTTAATCTGAGGATGTTTGTAAGAAAACAACCTGAAAATCAGAAGTGCAGTGTTATCAAATGTTCATCATGATCACACTTAGGTGAGTGCCGTGGATTTATTCGGGATTTTAGAGGGAGGGAAGAGTTGTTTCAGTTTCATCAATATATTTTGGTTATATATAAATCATACTATTTCTGGTTGTATATACAGATGATCACATTTCAGCGCAGTGTTTCTTAACAGTGTTTCTGTTTTCTAGAAATTGTCCAGTTATATGAGTTTTTTTATCTACTCTCACTGCTACAGGCTTACAGACCACCTACAGTACAACCATAATGCAGCATCCACACGATATCAATCTCGGCTACCAGGCTAAGCTGCTTATGAAAGGACCTTCAGAGAACTGTACAACCAAACCCCCTCTATTTGTCCCTCCACATCCTCTGGAAGATAACCTGTTCCTCTTTCCAGCTCTATCTGTGTCCTACCCTTAATCCCACCTTGGACTTGAATGAAAACTCAGGGAAGTGTTACGAGCAATGGCAGTCTTAAGAGTTAAGTTTACCAAGACCAAAAGAGACAAGCTGGCCCAGGTGCTCTGGATCCTAAACTGGATCTCGGTAGTTACGGGGGCCATCCTGTTCAGCCTAGGCCTCTTCCTCAAGGTGGAGCTCCATAAACAAGGAGAGGTGATGGCTGAGAGGGACATCCAGTATGTTCCCAACACGCTTATAGCTGTGGGTCTCATCGCTTGTGCCATAAACTTCCTGGGTGGGAAAATCTGCTACGACTGTGTGGACACCACCAAGTTTTTGCGCTGGAAGTTGATCATGCTGCCCTACATCATATGCACCTTCTTCTTCACCTTTTGTGTGCTGGTAGGGGCTCTGATGTGTTACTGCATGCACTGGGAACTGGAAGAGTCTCTGAACCTGGGACTGACAGAGGCCATGAGGTTTTATAAGGACACAGACACACCAGGACGCTGCTTCCTAAAGCGCACCGTGGACATGCTGCAGATGCAGTTTCAGTGCTGTGGAAACAACGGTTATAAGGACTGGTTTCAAATTCAGTGGATAAGCAACCGTTACCTGGATATGTCCCAAAAAGAGGTGGTGGAGTAAGTACAAACTGCAGAAACAGGGTGCTATTTTGGTAAAGTGCATTTGTATTTAAGAGGCTGTGTTCAAATGGCAAACAGAGAAAGAAACAACAGAGTTGTTGTAGTTCTGTATTTTCTCATTTTAATTCAGTTTAGCATCAGCGTTTTGATAGGGGTTGACTCACAATCTTGTAGACACCTAAAGTCTAAATAAATGCGTCCTTTAAAACTTCACAAAACAAATTTTGACAATTTTTTTTTACCAAGCTAACATATATTAAAACTAAGGATAGTTCATCTTTGTTTTTTCATTTCATTTTAGTTAGTTTTGCAAGTTCACAATCATTTCACTTAGTTTTTATTGTTTTTTTTGTTCAATTAAATTTTTTTTTCCCTTCTAGTTTGAATTTTTAGTTGAGTTTTAGTTCATTATAATTTCCCTGCATCATATTTGATACTGATATATAATTTCTTACACTGTGCTATAGATATTCAGTAACACTGAAAATGGGCAGAAAAAATGGGCATGGCAGGAAGCACAGATCAGCACAGTATAATAATAAAATACTGTCTAAATATATAAAAAATATACTCCCAAACAATCATCATCACATTTAAAATCTGATCACAGAAGCACTGATCTATTAAGGGAAATTCTAAACTTTGTTTTTCTGGCTTTAGCCGAATCAGGAGTAACGTGGATGGAAAGTTCCTACTGAATGGAGTCCCATTCAGCTGCTGCAACATCAACTCCCCCCGGCCCTGCATCCAGCAGCAGATCACCAACAACTCTGCACACTTCAACTACGAGCACCAGACGGAGGAGCTAAACCTTTGGATGAAAGGGTGTCGACAGGCGCTGCTGGAGTACTACATACACATTATGCAGTCCATCGGCCTCACAGTCCTCATCACCTGGTTATTTGAGGTGAGGAAACACAAGTCGGAGTTGGTAGGTTTAAAGGGAAACTATACAAAATCTGATTAACTTTTTCAGCCACTTTAACATCTTTGCATCATGCTTTGTGTTTATTTCTATGAGCGAGCCGGTCAGTAAGGGTCTCTTGTCGTTTCAGCTATCAGTGTTGACCGGGGTTCGTTACCTCCAGACTTCTCTGGAAAATGTCCTGAGACAGGGAGACCCCAACTCCGAATCAGATGGCTGGCTGCTGGAAAACAGCTTCATGGAAACTGCCCGCATGAACCTGAATATCATCAAGAGCCTTGGCAAGGGTAACCAGATAGACACAGCCACTAATGGAGACCCCAACATTAACGTCCCCTCCACCTCTAAAGCACACTATGGTCCTGACAATGTTCCACCGAAGCAAATAACTGAAGACAGTTGAACTTTTTCACTCAAAAGACTTCAATGGACGACATTCCTGAAGCCCACAAAGGGCCTTGAAACGTATACACATTACATTGGTGAATTCTTATCTCTGTACCTGTGGCGAAGGAATGGGCATTTTGTTTGTGGAAAATATATATGAACCCTAAATGATAGAATTTTAATATCAACACCATAATTTAAGTCAAGTCAATTTGTGTTTCGATGATCATATGATGGTCATATAAAAAAAATTGATAGAGGCCTGGTGACATAATTTCCACCCAAATCAATCCATTCACTGAGCCCTCATATAATGTGGACTGGGCCAAAACCATCCTCATAACTTTTCTGAAGGGTTCACAGGACCCACACCATGCTAACCAAATGTTCTCCTCAGTATAACAAAGCCAACACATTTCCTCACTTTAAATTCCTTTAATTTGTCACCAGTCTGCATACATTTCTATTAATTTTCTGTAAGATTACTTGTGCTTTAATCTACTGTTTACAAATGACATCTGTTGCCTGTGTAACATGTGGTTTTTGCAAAAAAAGACTCTGTACACCCGTCAGTTGCAACACTGGAATCAAAATGTACTTATATTTATTATTTGATGAAGACAACTATGGGTTAGAAGTTCAAGCACCTGTTCTTGTTTCCCATGATTTTATCTGAGCATGCCAGAAAACCCACTCAGAAGTTTGATTTACAGCAAGAAAAGCGAAAGCTCACAAATTACATTTCACAATTAAAGATCTGTAGTGACTAGTTTGTGTTTAGACTAGTAGTACCAATATTGGATCTTTTGTGTGCCCTTTTCCCTGAGTTGCCTAACTGCATTAGCAAAGTTGTTACAAGGATAGCGAATGTTAAACAGTACTTTGTTTTCACATAAGTAGCTCAGCAGACAGAAATCCATGAGAAATTCTTAACTACTTTTTTTTTTTTTTTTAGAATATTTAAACCACTGCTACGATTCTCTTGTGCCTCAGCAATGTCACCAGGTTTTAATGCTCAAATATAAACTTTGCTGGGATGAGCTACAAAAAGTTTGACAATAAACTGTCCGCTTGAGGACTTTGAATTCTGAAAAGAAGCCTTGCTGATGTGATCTGCTCTTCCTTCCTTTCTCCAACAACAAAACTGGGAAGTCGCTTATTATAGCAAGAATACGTTTTTGTTGTCCTTTTCTTAAAAGAATGAACAATTCGAGTGCAACTTCAGAATAACCGTTTAAAGCAGTTAACTTTAATCGAGAGCACATTCCTTTTTACAATGATTTATTCTAATCTTGGACACTACTGTTGTTGGGTCTGTTGTTGTTTTTAAACCCCATTCAGAGCTATGGAACAGACTACCTACAGATTGTCTTGTGTCTTTATTTCCACAGCCTGGAAATCATGAAGTCAAACAACACAACAACAAAAAAGGAAGAAATTATATATTCACACATTTGCTAAGTGAAATGACAGAAATAAAATGGAGTACCTGAAACCATACACTGGGATTTAAAAAAAGATTTTTTTCCTCTTAAATAAAACACTGCAATTGATCATTGACAACTAAAACTCAGATAATGTAGAGTCAACATCAAATGATAAAGGTTGACAATGTGTCGCACAACAGGTCATCCAATTATTTTTGATTACAAGCTTAATAAAGCTTAATAAAACTTTTCTAAAAGCGATCTTGCAATATCATATTGTATTTGAATTCCCTCTATATAATTAATTTCACAATTCTGAAGGTAAGTAAGCACAGATGTGAGAGTTATGTAACTATAAGAATGGCTGAAATTCAGAAAACTGGTGCATCTAAGGACAGGATATGAGGAAGTCACTGAGACAGATTCCCGTATACTTTTCTGAGAATACTCAATCTGTTTGAAGCAATCTTGAAAATGATGTTTATTCTATATACGTTTTGCCCATTATACATGTGTCTATTTATAAGTAAAGGTGTCAGTAGGTTAAGGTTTAATTATTTGAGGAATTCTACATAATAAAGGGTCAAAGGCAAAAATGGATAAGATCTCCGAAAAAGGCTAAAGTTTTCCACATGAATGTACTTGGAAACCGCATCTTTGAACAATTATAACTTATCACAAATCATAAGTTCTAACACAAAGAGAGAGAACGCAGAAAATTCACAGCATCATTAAGAAAAAAAACACATGAAGTGATAACAGAAACGTGTTGGTGTGTGTCTGATGCTCTTCTTTATTTGAATGAGCTTCTTTGCAAATAACATTACTCTGGGAGAAACTCATCCTCACAGCAGACAATCAAACTGAAACAAGGCGACTTGGGATTAATCAACAACAATCACCCTCTATCCATTTTGACTGCCCCCCCCCCACTCTCTCTGGATTCCAAAGGAGACTCATTTATGATGAAACAGGCTTTTCTGATTACAGAAGGGTTTGGGTTGATTGCTTGTGTGTGTCGTGTGCGTGCATGTGTCTTGGGAGCACAGGGGCCGTGCTCGGTATCGGCCAGTCACACAGCTGGAGCAGTCATCACAACATCTGCCACTCAAAAGCAAACATAACGTTGACCACCTCCAGGCTGCGGGCGATTTCTTCCAGGATGCAGTGCTGCTGCCACAGCTGGTTTAGCTTCCTGTAACGCTCTGGGCAAAGGTGCAACGGATTACCCCGTCTAAAACACAGAGAAACAAATGCATTCAAGGGTTTCTCAAACCCAGTATTTCACTGGTATGACAAAAAAAATGTAGTCATACTTCGTAGCTGTGTAAACCACTTCTTTATGTCATAAAAAAGACTTAATGCTTATGCAAATCTGAAAGTGCATGAAGGTAGTATTATAGGTTAAAGCTGCCCAGGTGTTGGGCTTGAACTGCAAGTTGCTCATCAGGGTCTACTGTGAGAATGTGCCATCACTGTGCGATCAAGTTTTGATCAGCACATAATTATGAATTTGAGATCTGCAACAAAGCTCAAATAAATGCATTTTTGTAGTCTACAATGGCAACAGTTTTAGCTTCAACATTCAAGTCTACAAGTGACACCAAAGTTTCATTACATTAGCCACAGTATTGCTGTACATTGCCCCTACGAGCAACATCATCCATCTACCTTTTCATAGATGGCACAAGCTGTAAAAATTGTCTGACAAAGCCAAACAGCTGACCTTGAGTACATCCTCCAGTCTGTATTATATAGTAGAGTTTTTTAAGTCTAAAAATACAGAAGTAATACTACAAATAAACTGAATACGTTCTTACCCAAGATGGGGATCAGTCTCCCCATAATCATCCAAGTACGGAGCGGGATACGTGCTCCCTCGAGTCCGACTGGCCATCAGCACAATTTCACACTCTCTTATCCTGTTATCATTAAACAAAATGTGATTCAGTTAGAAAAAAAAAAAAAGTAAACCCAAAAGACAAACTAATTCTGGGCCTGAAATACAATTCTACTAATGTAAAATGTGCAGTGTGACTGATTAACCTGAGGAACATCCCCACTCCTGCTCCACAGGTCGCAGCGTGGGCAGTGCAAGCCCCCACGTCCTCCCCTTCCAGCTGACTGAGACAACAGGAGCTCTGAGAGCACAGCATAGCCCCACAAAAGAGACATAAAGTCGGATGCTTCCTCTCATCATCGGTGGATTTTGGACACCTGAGGACATGATGCAGACGAGTGAGAAAGGATGGACAGAAGAGAACTAGAAGATGTCAAATGAGAGGACTCCTTACTTACTTGAAATGGCTGGCTTGATTGAGGAGAGTACTGTAATCTTCAGGAAGTTCAATCAATCGATTCCTTTTCCTGGGGTATCTGTTGAAAGAGTGAGTTTATTGGCCAACTGTAGGGTTTCAATAAAACTAAAATCTATGTTGAAATAATAAAAGACCCAAAGTCTACCTGACTGTCTGGATTTTGCCTTTCAGGGCTTTGGTTACAACTGGGCTCCCACACCACCTAAGAAATAACAAGAAATAATAAGTTCCAAAACTACTGACTTCACTGGGAACTAGTGTAAGATGCAATAGTGTTTTCTCTGACCTCTGAAGCAGTGGACTAACAGTTTCTCTGTGATCGTGGAAAAGCTGAAACACATTGGAGGGTAGTGCCAGGTAACTGCATAGTGCCTCCATCTGTTCTTGAGAATCAACTGCACAAGACATAAAATGTCAGCATGAATGCACAAATCTTGCTCTTCTGAATTCCAAAATGCAATAAAATTCTGACACTACTACAGTGAAACCTACCAGAAATGCTAAAAAGCTCCTCTGGAGGAGGTACTCCTGTAAGGCAATTGAAAAAGAGAGCAGCACAACGCAAGAATGGTGCAATTCCTGTCTTCACTCTTTCTACTAAAGAGCTGCCAGAAACATCTGGAAGGAGCCTGATGAGAAAACCACAAAATAAGCTGTCAAATATCTGAGAATTCACCATGAAAAAGGCTGAAACTAAGTATTTGTTCCCATTATAAACAGGTAATAGCCATTCTTGTCAAATTATGAGTTAAAAATATTTATCCAACTCTGACGGTCTTACTGTCCAATACATCAAAACCTCCTGACACCTGCCACAAATGCATTTTTGTGACTAATAGCAGACATTTAAATTATAAATTAGCATTAAGAAAGGAGATCCGTTTTTGCTTAAGTTTAGTGGCTGTCAATACATCTTACTGTCATTTGCAACATAAAGTTTTTTCTTTTTTTGATGTCCATTAAAAATATGTATGGAAAAATACAATCATGCTAATGTGCTTTAAGCAGGTGTTTGAAAAACACTCACCTTCCCGTGTGTTGTGACACTGCAGAGTACAACTCTGCTGCTGCTCTCTCCTCCTTCGTCTCCTGTCCATCCCCTGCTGCAGGGACGTCTGCACAAACAAACCAATTATTTAATCATCATAATCACTCATATTATCTCTTACTACTGGCTAGCTCCCTAAATGGTAGCTAACAGTGGTGTTATTAGATCACATTATTTGGGGGGGGGGGGTGTCGTCTGTGATTTTGTACCTGCAGAAGACAAGAGGATCTGCAGCACATGAGCCATGGTCACCAAATGCAAGATATGCAGGTGATTGTATGCAGCGCTGACAGCAGATGGCTGTAAGTCTACAGTCTCCTCTTGATAAAGTGAGGGTATCGATAGCACCAATCCAACCTGACAAAACATCCAAGCGTTATAAAACCATCACACACCTGTTTCTTAAAGACATCATCTCTTCAATCTTAGTAAAAATTCAGAGGGTTGTCTATAGTTTCTCAATCAACAGAAAATAAAATCTCCACCATCATGTTTCCTCTTTACAGTCTTACATCTTCTGGAGTTCATGTTCATTTTCAATTGGAATCTGTTTTTATTGCACTTAACATAATACATTTATTGTATTAATCTAATGTATTAGCATGAAGCATTTGCTCAGACTAATATGTAAGAGCAGTTTCTTTCAGAGACACCTACCAGAAGATGGAACAAGTCCACCTCTAGAAGAGAAGGTGTGTTCTTTCTGCTCATGACTGGTAACAAGACTGAGAAGAGAGAAAGGACAGTTAAACTACACAGTCACAAGTCTAACCAGCCTGAAGTCTCTCTGATGACCACATACCTCCCAACATATCAGTGAAGTGCCTTTGGATGACTGCCTGAGAGCTCTTAGGTCCCTGCGTTGCTGAAAACTGAACAATGGCCTTCATGCCTGCAAGCTAAAAGAGAAGCATTTCACACAACTTTCACAGAAACCCCCTACACTAAAAGAACTGCATCAATTGTTCACTACTGAGTACCTGTCTGTTCTGTAAGGACCCAAATAGCGGCTTGCCCTCCTGCTCCAGTATGTTTTCTGTGAAGATTTGCAATTTTAAGACCTGCGCACATGAATACATGCAAAGGAAAGGAGTGACAAAAGCCAACAGATGCAGTACCTATGGCCTGAATAGTGAAGGCACATGTGTTCCAGGCCATAATGGAAACACGGGGGCACAGCTCATTGGGCGCAGTCTTCAGTCCAACCCTGTGGACTGTGGTGGCGCACACAACCAGCATCTCTGTAATGCTGTCTGAAAACTTTCTCCTAGAAACAACAAACAGCACAAAATTTAGAAAAG